CATGGCAGGGGGTTGGAACTAGATGATCTTTAAGGTCCTTTCCAACCCAAACCAGTCTGTGATTCTATGATTCTGTGTGGGCAAAGGCATCACTGCAGTCTGAAACGGGTCACAGCGATGGACGGCTGTGCTTATTAAAGTACTCAAACCAAAGCCTTGGGGATGACTCGGGAATAGCTTGCAGCCAGGTTGCAGTCCCAACGGCAGCCTGCTGCCTCTTACAAGCTTGCAAGAATTAGAACCGTTCCTATATGCCAGGAATTGAGAAGCAGACTTTGTCGGGGGGAGGGAGAAGAATATGCTCCTAACCAAACTGCAAATACCCTCCTTATCCCAGGAAAGCAGGGGAATAGCCGATCAGAGTGGTCTGGAGGGCGCTTTGTTTTGCAGGAGGTGGCTTAGGGTTCATGTGATTTCTGTCAGGATTAAACTTGATCAGCACCTGGCGACTGACAGGTCACAGCTCTGTCTTCTGCTTGTGCGTGTCCCGGGCTGGTGAATTTTGGGAATCATACTAATGCCTTACTCCCTGTTGAAAACGAGACACCAGAAACTTCCTGTATTTTTGTGGGATTTAATTCTTGGTAGCAATTGGAGAGTTAATTGTGCGTATTAGTGCGCACGTGTGCTGCAGGGTTCCCCTCTGGAAGGCACCGAATGCTGCAGCTACTCCTTGTTGCGAGTAAGGCGGTTGTTTGCAGGTGTTACCCCACACTGACCGCAGATCTGATCACGGTGACCCATCTTTTGTTGCTCACTGGCCAGATCCAGCAATCTTTCAGTCCCCAACAAAAGGGGAAGAACAATGCCTGGAAGCCAAAAGTACAGATTTTTGTATCTGGAGTTATTGTAGCTGAGTTTCAAGTAACGTGAACGTTCTTTAAGCGGCGGAGAGAGGTGACTTGAAAGTTGTCCCTTAGGACTGTCTTGGGCTAAGTCTGTAGGGGGGCAGCTCTTCCCCATGTTGTCAGCTCTTGGGAAGTAAACTGAGGTCTGTCGTAGCGAGGATCATGTATGTGGGTGCCAAGACCACCACAGTTCCTTCAGGTGCTCGTGGGTGCAGATGGCGAACGTGTGTTCGTCCTGCAGATAAAATCTGAGCGCTCTGGTGGATCCTAAAACTACCTCTGTAGCCGAGATCTGCAGACATCCAGGGCGATTTTCTAGCTGTTTAGGAAGAGAAACTTGGTGATCCAAATCTCTTGTTCGTTAGGACATGTCCAAAGAATATAGAAGAAAAGAAATTCCCAGCATTGGCTTGTGGCTGTTCTCGTCTTCTGGCATTTTGCTTCTATGCTGGGCTTGCATTCTTTGGAATTCTGTTTCCGTCTTTCCCTCTTTCTTCCCTTCTCTCCTTTGTGTGTTGATTTTTCTGGAGTTTTAGCCAAACCTTTATTTTCCTTATGTATAGTCCTTACGACACTGAAACAGTTTTTCAGCCATGCTACAGGGGCCTGTATCCTCTTATCCTGTTGTGACTTGTAAATTGTGGTTTAGTATTGCACCAGATTTGGGGGTTGTTTAATCATCACTCGAAAGTTGCTCTTAATGTTTTTATTTGGAAAAGAAATCAAACCCCTTGACATTCTACATCAATGTCACTGTTAACAGACGCCTCTTCACGTAATACATACGTGACCTTAAAAGTTTGGCAGCAAACTGCTGGGTTGATGCCAGAGGCCTCTTGAAACAGAGTTGAAAGCATTTAGAAACTTTGGAAAAGTGGTTTTCTTGAGAGGTGCAGTTTTAGGGTTACTTTAGTTTGAAGGATGAAATGGATGTTACGGCTCTTCCAAATCTATTTGTGAAACAAAACAGTGGTTGATAATCAGACTTACTACCTCTGCAACCTCGCGGGATGATGTCATTGTAAGAGAGAGAGTCCATTTGTTAAATTCAAACAGCCTTCATAAATGCACATGATGTTTATTAAGGCAGTGCTGAAATGTAAGGGATAGACTGCTTTAAATGTTTGGGTTTCATGTATGGTTGGTGCATATTATTTTGCACTCTGATACAGCTCCAGAGAAGCAATGGAATAAAACTAATATAGTAAAAAATACACTAGGATCTAGTATATATAAAAATATATTAAGCTGTTTGTACATACGCAATCTGCCTGTAATACATGAATTTGGCCCTTGGGAGAAGAAGTAGAGTCACTGAAATACGAGATGACAATTACTTTAAATCAATGATTGCAGCTTCTTGAGCTGAATGTGCTGTTGTCGTGGTTCAATCCCAGCCAGCAGTTAAGCACCACACAGCCCCTCGCTCACTCCTGCCTATGGCAGGATGGGGGAGAGAATCGAAAGACAAAAAATGAGAAAACTCATGGGTTGAGATAAAGACAGTTTAAAGGGTAAAGCAACAGCCCTGCAGAAGCAAGGCAAGAGAAGGAATTCATTCCCCGCTTCCCATGGGCAGGCTGCTGTTCAGCCACCCCCAGAAAAGCCGGGCTCCATCATGTGTAACAGTGACGTGGGAAAGCAAACGCATCCCTCTGAACATCCCCCCTTCCTCCTCCTTCCCCCAGATTTATATGCTGAGCATGATGCCATGTGGTCTGGAATATCCCTGTGGTCAGTTGGGGTCAGCTGTCCTGGCTGTGTCCCCTCCCAGCCCACTCACTGGTGGGGTGAGAGGCAGAAGAGGCCTTGTCTCTGTGTCAGCACTGCTCAGCAGTAACGAAACCAGCCCAGTGTTACCAGCACTGCTTTCAGCACGGATCCAAAGCAGAGCCTGATGTAACGTAGGTGGCCTGAGGGATGGTCTGGGGGATCTGGGTAAGCTGCAGATATGCAGCCTGCAAGGCTGCGGAATTTTGGTGCAGACTTTGTACTTGCACTGTTAATCATAGAAGTATTTTTATCCTCAGAATGTTTTCCTCTCCCGGTTTGTTAGCTGACCTGGTCTTTTGGATAGGTGCAGTAGAAGATGAGCTTCTTTAAGGTTCGGCACCTTAAGGGGTGGTTTGGTTCTAGGAGTCATCCTCAGCCTTCATTGAAGTGGCTCTTCCCCCTCAGTTTCCTTAGGGGAATGGATGCACCCTGTCACTGTCCCCGCATCAGTTATTTAGAAGCTTTGGTTAAGGCTCGATCCGTTGGCAGCACCTTGGACCATCCTTGCGAGTTGCTCCTTCTCTGAACTCCCCAGTACGGGCAACCCCTCTGTTCTGCCTGCCGCTGTGGTACCTGCACTTGGCGTTTCATCAGAAGTGACTTTAAGCTCGTCAGACCGAGGTTGTCCCTGGGTACCTCCTCCCTGCCACAGCCCTGCTCTGCCTGGGGAAACCTACCCAAGCAAGATGGTGCCGGCGGTGGCTTTCCTGGGGAGAACCCGCTGCCTCTAAGACGTGGCTGTTCTTTGGATTAGTTTGGGCTGCTTTGCTAAATGAAAGCAGATTTTCACAGAATTCCTTCTTTAATTTCACCTTGTTACAGGAGGGCTTTGTCACTCAGTTGCAGGGGAAAACTCAGTGTGTGTTGGTCTCTTCTGCATCATTTACGAAGAAAATGAACTCTGAAGGATTTGTGCATCTTTTACTCCTCTAGTAAGACGCTGACAGAGTGCCTGCCTTCCCTGATCTTACAGGGCTGCAGACCAATATCTGTCCAATTCCATGTGTTGCTGCATCCAGACCCTTGTGGATCAGCATAGTGCGTAGGAGCTGAGGCGATGCTTTAGCTGAGGAAAGGGCTTGGTATGGATTTTGGAAAAGACTGTGGGACAGGGCGGAAAACCTTCTTGATCCTTTAAGTGCAAGCTGGGGGTGGCAATACAGAAGTCAGACAGCTGTGGAGAGTAGAACTAACAAAAGCTTTTTGTTTCCTCTTTCACTTTAGAGTTCATGTAGTTACGTCTCTTGCTCCAGAGATGCCGTGTGGCTTGGCATCTTTCAAATCCAATGCAAACCTTGAAGGGTGAGGTAGAAATTCCCAACTGGAGACTGCTTTAGTTTTCTCAAAATGTGTAAATGTGCTAAAGCTTAAATTCCTGTTTGATTTATTTGTCTGTAGAATCAGCCAAACTCTACGTACACGTTAGGAGTACATGTGTGAGCAGAAGTGGTGGATGAAAAGCAGAAAAGGAGCCAGCTGCCTGCAGCTCGGAGAGAAACGGCCGGGGCTGTTGCTGCAGCCAGCACCTTTGGCCAAAGTCCAGCATGTTTTCATGAGGCAGAGAGAAAACAATAGATCCACCAGAAAGTAGGAAAACAACTTGCAGGGAAAGGAAATTATACCAAATGAGCAAGACTGCAAAGGTTTTAGAGATCTAGAGTGGGGAACAGTGAGGATGGGAGTGGTGAGAAGCTGTTTTTCGGAGAGTCAGGACCTAATCCAGGTAAAATAAACTCGTGCGATTACTCTTACATATAATCTTTTTGGATCCACGTTCTTTCCTGTACGCCGCAGTAGGGATTTAATCTAGGCTGGCTTTTGTCACTCATCTGAAGCGGTGGTATATTCAATACTTGCCCCATTGCCAACTCCCTGTTAGCATTTTTAGTTGCAAGATGCTTTATGTTAAAAGTTACTCGGTGCCCGTACTGTGGGACGATCCTGCTTGGGTTAGTGATGCTGAGCCGCCCTCTGTAGCAACTTCCCTGCAACGGAAACAACCAACAGGGTTCTTGGCTGCCACGGGGTGTACTTAGAGCTGGTTTAATGCGGTGAACTTGGAAACAGGGCGCTACCGATGTTGGTATCACAGGTGCCCGAGTAAAAGGTTAAAAACCCCCAAACCCTGCCAGGCTAACCCTCACCCTTGTGTGGAAGGGATTGGGGTGGAGGGGAATTCTGATCAGGAGAAGCACATAAACTCTTGAGTGTCAAGAGAACATACTCCTCTAAAATACCACGTCACTGCTGCAGAGCAAAAAGGTCTGCTGGAAAGCAGAGGTGTTGCCAGAGGCAGGAAGACATTTACCACTGAGCGTTTTGGAGAGAGTGGTGTGGTCCGCGAGTGACAGTCTCTTTTCTTCTTCTCTCTTACTGCAGTTGAATGGATTGCTGCGGTCTCCTTAGCTGCTGGAGCAGCTGCTGTTGGGTATCTAGCTTACAAAAAACTCCTCACTAAAGACAAATGCTGCAAAGCGATGGTGAATCCCCACATCCAGAAGGATAACCCCAAAGTAGTCCATGCGTTTGATATGGAAGATCTGGGAGACAAGGCTGTGTACTGTCGTTGTTGGAGATCGAAGAAGGTAAGAGAAGAAGAAGTGGTCCGGTTTTGTTCATGTGCGTGCACCTTGCAACAAAACTATTTGCCAACTGCTTTATTTAGAGGAAACAAACTTCTTTTCACCTAAACTGTTCCGCAGTGAGATGTAGCAGCATTGTAATCCATAAAACGATGCGGATTTATGCTGTCACTCCGAGTAAAGCCTGCAGATCAGTAATAATCGTGAACAAAACGCTTCTGTAGCTCTGAAGAAGTAGATCCCTTGGAAGGAGAGCACGGTATGGAGCGATCATGAACGACAGATGCCATTTTGCGCACTGCTTTCGCTAATACCGGGGCTTACGCAAAACTACTGGCCTGGATTTGTTGTCGTAGCAGTGCTGTGTACTGTAGGTAGCTACCATTTGCTGCAATGAGTACAGTGATGTATTCTTTCTAATGGTGGTGGAGGTAGTTGGTCAGTTGGAGGTAGGGAGTCATTGCAGGTCAAAGCTCTGGAAGAATAGGGACAGATGGACTTAATCCATGTATCTGAGTTGTATGGGTAATCCTGCAGTAAAGGCGGTGAAATCACGATGGCATACTTACAGCCTCTAGTTTTGAGCAGTCAGGAGTCTGGCCTAGATGCTGGCCCAGCTTACTTGGCTATCAAGTTGGGTTGCCTCAGTTGCCTGAAGTCAGTGGTCAGCATGGTGAATGACCTTTCAGTAACGGTCAGACCAGATCTGAATCTGAGGTAGAGATGTGTGGCATTTGGCTAGCTGAGATCTGAGTAATCTATCTGCAGTGGTGGTTCCGGGATCTGTAATAAGGGAAAGCAGGTTGCATGAGTAGTCCTTTCCGTTTGCCACTGGCACGCATTTAAAAGCCTTTTTAGAAGTCAGGGTGCTAACGTGTGGAGTCTGAGATAATACAAACCTTCCAAGCCAGGTAGCTGAGGCCAACAGCCTTGAAATCCAGCGCTCTCCATCCGTGAACCGAATACTAGACTTTTCAGGCCTCAGACACAGGTCTAATCAGGCCACAGTCCGCACGTCTCCAGGTTGTCAGGTCTGACTTCATTACCCTGCGGGTGACCTCAGAAAGTTACACACTGTAGCTGTATTTGGTTTAACATTGAAACTGCTGAGGATTAAACAGCGTCTTGATTTGATTCTGAAGTAGTCCTGTGGAGGTGGGCTCCGTCCAGAGTCTGAACTGAAAAACAAAATTCCCTGCCCCCCTGCCATTGCCGCAGGGTGCTCCACGGACTAAGTTAGACTGGGTGCGTGCCTCTTCTCATGGTCAGTTACTGCCAAGCAGTAATAAGACACAGAGACGTTCTCGTCATTCTCATATGCTTGGCATCTTTGGAAGTAGCTAGCGTTACCCATTTCTTACAATTCTCCGACTAAGATTCTGTTTTAATTTGTAAGACACTGTTTATGTGAGGGCAGAATGGTAGAACGTGTGTGCTTCCAGTGCAGGGGATTAGAGTCAGAAGCAATAAGTACCTGCAGTGTTTTTGTTCAAGAAGTGGCGTATGGGGATCTCTGCTCCGTGCGCAGGTTAGAAGAAATGTCCTTTTGCGTGACTCTGTGAGCGCTTCTCATCAGATTCAGCCTCACCTGAGGCGTTACGGACAACCGGATTCTGCTGCGTGCACCGCGGGGGTGCGTGCGCTGCAGCTGGCTCACACGGTGTTCCTCCTGTATGGGCAGTAACAAAGCAGCTGGACGACTACAGGGTGTTTTGGAGTAGCTCTCAAAAAACAAGCAAGATTCTTTTCACTTAGTTTTTTTTCTGAAATGGTATGCTTCAAAGGCAGTTTGTGCTGGCCAAAGTTTTCATGGAGTGCACATGTTTTTTGAAACACACACATGGTATCTTCAAATACATCTGTCTTGGGGTGTAATTATCTGTTAAAGTAGGTGGTACGTAGTCCTTCAAATGGCCCTTTCCTATCCGGTGTTGTGCTCTGCGGACGCTTCATAGCACTGCTTGTCAAGTTTTGTGGAAGAACCCAGTGTGCAAATTTACTGCTGTAGAGGCAAGAGTTTTGTCTTCAACCCAAACTGTGATTAGTCTGAAATTAGAACATTTGTTTTCTTACTCTTTTGCGTTTTTAGCTTGGGGGGTGGAAATTAATTTGCTTTCGTTTGCAATGACCTGAAACCTCCGTGTCTTCAAGTATTAGTCCCCAGGCTGTGGGTCAAGGAATACTGCTGCAGACTATCAGAAGACATAGTGGTAGGGCATCTAAACCTGCTCCTTGTCAAGGGCAATAAGCTGAGCTGTCCAGATCACTGCACAGTTCCCGCAGGGCCAGGGCTTTGGCCGCTACCGCTAGCCTGCTTTATCTTACTCAAGGGTGTCTGCGTTGTGTCAGGCCCGGGATCCGTTTATTCGGTATTTGGTCTTCAAGGTGACCAAGTGGGTGCTCTGGGACAGTGGTGTTTTTTCCCGAGAAGCTCAGGTGTAGTGTCCCAGCCTCTGGGAGCCAGTGGTTCGGAGACCAGATGACCGGGAGGATGAATTTGGAGCAGAGTTGGTAGGTTTAAAGATGTCTGGGTGCTATCTGGAGCCTGTGCATGAAGACCAGTGGGCTGAGGTGTTGAGTGGAAAAACAGCTGGCCGAGGAACATCTGGGTTGGAAGCTTGTCAGTGTCCCATGAACGTACGTTCCTGTTTGCTCAGACTTTTTCCACGTATCTGTCAGTGCCTGCCCGCTGTCACAAATGACTGATTTGATGATAAAGTTCCTGCAGGAATTAGCTTACGTGAGTATTCCCCAAATTCAGGGTTTCTGTATTTGGAAAGATCACCTGGGTTTTGACATTTTGTAACTGTGAAAAACAACAAAACCCGCCTCATCTCTCACCCATCCACCCCCAGCACTACCCTACAGGGCATGTGGCTTTATTTTTAGAGCTCTGGGAATTTTTTTTGCCAATATATTGTCTTCGTCATATCGGCTTTGTGCGGTACTTGGAAATCTTTCATCCTGGCTGAGCGCAGTGGATTGGGTGTTACTTAGGGCTGTGACTGAGGCATGAACATTGGGATCAGCAGTGTGTCAGAGACCATTTGATTGTGACTGTACTGCAAGGGAATACTCCAGTTGCTGAGGCAACAGCAATAGTGAAACTGTCCTTTTTTCTCATCACGTGCTACGGCAAACCAGGAAAAAAACTCAGCTCGGGGTCTGTTTCTCTTGCTCACCCCACGTAACTTCTGTGACGGCGCTCGGGCTGTTGCCGGGGAGAGCAGAGCGCGGCGCACGGTTGAGAGCAAGGTGCTGCAGGCGGGTTACAGAGGAAGGTCAGCTCAGGTTGCGTTTCCCTCGTGCTGGCCCGAGGCAGGAACACCGGAGCGGAGTGGGGTAACACGCCTCTCGTCCGCTCCGTGCTCGCACGGACAAAACCAGCGTTGGGCCAAAACTGAGATGCCAGCGCAGAGGTTGTGGTGTGCGGGCAGAGTGGATTTAATGAGATGCTCTAAAGAACTTTCAACCGAGGTTCTTCATCCTGACCCTGGACGTACTTTAGATGTGTTTGTTCTTTCTTTTTTCAGTTTCCGCTGTGTGATGGCTCTCACACAAAGCACAACGAGGAAACTGGCGACAACGTTGGGCCTCTGATCATCAAGAGGAAGGAGGCGTAGAGCGGACAGTAGAAGCTACAGAATGAATGTCTGACAAATCCTCTGCTCACTTGTGATTGGGGGGGGAAAAACACAATTTCTTTGTCGTGTCACTGAAGACTTCCCGGTGTAGTATATACATGATGCTTCAGCATGTGTATTTTCTCTGGTGCTTGTCTTGTTTTAATCACTACAGTGCTTAATTTACGGAATAGTCATGGGTTGGGTTTTTTGTCCTGTAAAGTGTGTGTAGCCGCTCGTCGAGTACGAAACTAAAATGACGCGCGGGACGTGCTTCGTCAGAAAAGAGGTATTAATTGTCAAATACGCCTGTGCTACTCTGAGGCCCTTCGGTGTAACGGGTGTGCAAAAGGTAGATCCTAAAGAGGTTCCCAAGTCACAGGCCTGGATAGATTGCTCTGTGAAAGGCAGCGGCAGGAAAGAAATCACGGCACCAGCATGCGGCTAACGCTCTGGTGGTGCTGCGTTTTCCGCAGGTCACGTTTGGCCCGTTACACCGTTGTTCCGGGGGGCTTCCCTACAAGAAGGAATTCAAAACTGGGAGCTAGGAACAGAACATCAAAGGCTTATAGCAAGGTGGGGCTAAAGGGCAGCTTTACCTGTGATTTTACAGCAGTGTGAAACTTGAGAGTCCACACCGCGGGGCCTGCAGAGCTGGGGTGAGAGTAGGATGAGGAAGGTGCTCTGTGCCGGAGCTTTCTTGGGAGTGATGCCAAGTGCTGGAAGGGCAATGGGCCCGGGGGGGGACACAGGGTTGTCTTTGCTGCTAGAAAGCCTTACTGGTTACACGTGCGGGCGCCGGCAGTGCGGCTAACTTCCCCAGACCGCAGGGCACTTGTGTGGGAGGGGCTGTGCCCATTTGTTCCAGAAGCTAAAATAAACACCTCGGACCCCACCCATCATTGCTGTCTGCTTCGTCAGTGCTCTGGCTGGTTCCCCAGGACTCTTCCTGCTGCTGAGGAGGAGGCACACCTTTCTTACTAAGTGGCCTTAGGCTCCATGTGTCTTAAATAACTCCTGCCTCCCTGGGCTAACTCCTACCGTGGTTCTGCTAATTGTACCCAAAGAGCTGACAGGGACAAGGAAAGGCTTTGGCGACAGCTAGAAACAAGGGGGACAGGAAGGACAAGGACAGCTCTTGCCCTCCTTCCATGTGGCACATGTCTGCCTCTGACTCGGGGCGCGTTAATGGCTGTCACGTTGGTTTCCTTAAACAGCTTTGCTTTATTAACATGCAAATGAGCAGAAAGCAAAACCCAAAGAGTGGGCGGCAGAGGGCAGGTCTGCACTGTTCGTGGTCCTTTAGCCTAACTGCAGCCCGTGTAAAACTGAGCTCTCCATGTCCAGGGACAGAGAGACTACCTGGGAGCCAGAGGAAAGGCCTTTCCAAGAAGCTGACGCTTTAACCTGGACCCTTAAGGATTCTCCCAGAGGATTGGGGCAGGAGAGGTTTTCTTTAAGGGTGCGGTTTGTACGGCTGGTTAAGACGGAAGAAAACGCTTTGCATATTCTCTCTGAGAGACTTTCGGGGGCTGAGGTTGTAGCTGACTGGTCTGAGCTTTAGCAGAAGGTGCAGGAAGTAGGAAAGGTGGCACAGAGGCAGAGAAAGGGTTTGCAGGTGGAGTGCTGCAGTAGGGGCAGCTACTCTCCGAGAGAGACCTCTGCTTGTAAGAAGCTGCAGTCAAATAAATTTAGTTTCTATTTTTTCTTCCTGTCTTGTCTGTAAAGGTACTTGACGTTTTTTACCGGGCCAAGCACTGATGCATATGGAAAGTCATTTTAACCTTAAATTATCAAATGCATTGCTTTTACCCCAAACAAAATTATTTCTGTATTATTAGGATGTGACACTGGATATTTCTGTACTTTCTGTCAAATACACATTTGAGCTCATCTTCATCTCGAGGTTGTAACGTCTCGTGTTATCTCATGGGTGTGCTGTTTCTTTCAAGGGTGTTACTCCGTGAGTAACCACGCCAGAGCTGCTGTCGTCATCAACCTGTGTCTGGGTTGGGCTTTGCCTCCTGAGGCGTCTCTTCCTGTTGGCCGCTCTGCAAGGAGTAAGAGGTCACTAAAAGCTGCGTTAGCGTGCTGGGAGATGGAGCCCTGAAGTTGCAGATGAGGCTCCCAAGTCATAACGCTATTTGCTGGAGTCTGCCGATAAAACAGTTCTTGGAGTTTAGGCATCAGGGAAGTGGGCTCCATGAGAAGTTGTTATTCCTGGGAAGCAGGAGCTGAGTCTCTGCCAATTTACGTCCGGGTGAGTTTGGTTTGGAGAAGTGTCACGTTTATAAATAATCTCTAGAACGCGAAGCAAATGGGTTATCTCTTTGCCATAACGAAATTCCGCACGTGCGCAGTTTTCCCATCCCATGGGAAGTCCTGCGTGAAAACTGTTACAAATCCTTTGGTCAAAGCAGCGAGGGATTCCCATCCCAGGGTAAAACTACATCGCTTTTCGGCACGTAAGGCTTCGTTCGGAAGGTGAACAGCTTAACGTACTGATTCTGCAGGAACCGAGTGACTCAGCAGAACAGTCTGAATGTCAAACCTGCCCTTGCTTCTGCAGTCAGCGTGCTTGGAGGCCGCTCACCGGCCTTTTCTGCCCCTTGAATGCGAGACCCGTCAGTCTAACGGAGTTCAGACGGTGGAGGGCGGCACTGCGGCGCTGCCCAGGTGCACTAGGAGGAAACCAACGCTGCAGCGGATGCTGCTCGCTAGGAGCAAGGCCGTTCTGCGGCTGCTCCGCAGGCACACAGCGGTGTTTGCGGCTTTTCCAGCAGCACTGCTGCCTGCTGGCGCCCGGGCAGCTGCAAGGCTTGTGTAAACGCGCTGGGGACTAAGCGGCTTTCCGTAGGCGGGGGCTGGTGCGCTCCGAACGGAGGAGTTGCGTCGCCGGTTCCCCGGCGGCCTGCCGCAGAGCTGACCGCAGGCCCTACTGAAACTCTCCGCAGGTGGTTGCAGTTCGGACCTTGTCCCGGCGCTGTTGGCGCCTGTAACGTTTACATTGCGCGGTTGCACAGCAGCGGGAGAGGGATTTCCCTGTAAGTG